TCCCTATTTTATGTTTCAGAGATGATGGATGACCACATGGCAAACTTGCAACAAGGAAGGAAACCCACCAGCAAGACATCTAGATGGGGAAATTCAAGTTTTGTAGCTTTGATCCCCAGTATTGAGATCTGTCCAGAGCTTCTACCCTACCTGCAGGGAGGCCCTACTGGGTATCTCCTCCAGCATCATGTGCTTTGGGCTGGGGACAAACACCTGCCTTGAGCTGGGGTCTGGAGGAGAAAGACATGTATCTGGACAGCAGTTCAGTGAAGACATAAGGATGTACTGATGACAGGTGCAGAAAGTTTCTCATCTCTATTCAAGAGAAGAGGAAAAGGAAGAGAAAGTGATGAACAGCAGAGTGGATCAGCTTAGCTTGTGTAAAACAGAGAATCGTGCCATTTCTTCTCATTTTGAAGTACTTGGGAAAGGAAAAATATTAATAATTGTATGTAAAAGTTTAATTTTGGCATAGAACAAGCCATCCAGAAATGAAAGTATCTGTCTGTCCAGTGAGATTCGAAAGTCTTACTCCACTAGGAGCAGCAAGAGCAATGACTCAAAGTTGTAATATTGAATCTGATAAATTAAGCATGTTTTCATTACCTCTAACAGCATGACCATCTCCAGGTCTGAACTCCTCCTTCAGCTAGTGCAAAACAGAATGTCTGTGAAGCACCAAATAAAAAATTGCATTAATGTCTGGAATGGATTTACAGGCTTCTCAACCAGCTGTGCCAACTGCCAATTGTCTGGTGTTAGATAGGGTTACATCAGTAAGATTAAAGTCTGTTTTACAGTAATAATCTGGAAGAGTAAGAAAAGGTTAGTTTAGTTCCACCTTTGTGGCTCATGATAGCAGGTCTGTGGAGTTTCTGAAGAAATGTGGCATTTTCGTTAACTATGCAGTACAAACATTTGAAAGATATTTTACTGGTTTTGCTAGATGACACATTTTTCGCAGAGCTGTTCAGTCACACCTAAAAGCCTTTAATCAGGCAGACCCAGGGTATTAACTCTCTCAGGTTTCCTGACTGGGGGTAAAGCAGGAGGACAGCATGGGAGGCTGTGTTGTTTTGTTGAGACCAATTTAGCATTTATGGACATTTTTGTTGTAAGAGAGTTTGTGCCGTGTGAAAGCAGCACTAGAAAGTTAGAAGAGGACAAGGATAGAGGCAGAAAGGAGAACTGTATGAACCAAGGTATAAACCAGACTGCAAATATTTGGCTTCTCTAGGAAAGAGTCTGCTGAAAGCACACAAAGTTACTTTCAGCCTGTTCATTTTTCTGCCACTGACATGTTATTCCTAAGAAAGCTTTTGCATTTCTCCATTTCCATTCAATTGTAAATACTTTATAAAGGTTCATCACTCAGTCAAGTTTCTCCAGTTAGGTATAAGGCAGCAGTCCTTTTCTGGGATCAGAGAGTGAACCAGAGGAAAATGCTCAGCTCTTTTCCTCCCCCTGTGTGCAGCAGAGCCAGCAAGCAGTGCCTTCAGTGCCACAGCTGTGCAGCTGGCAGGGCTGTGAACTTGGAAAACACCTGGAGACCAAAGAAGGCAACTGCTGGATGCTTTGAGTGATGATCGTAGGACCTTTCTGATCATAACTTAGTTGTTCCTCAGGGGTAGTTCTTGCTTCGTGTTGTTCCTTTTGTTGTTGCTTCTGTCCTTTTCTTCTGTCAGGAAGCATATTCTCCTTCCATTTGCAGGAAGCTGAGACCTACCAGCAGATGGGCTGGAGGCAAACTGGAATCAAAGTGCAAAGGAAATTTCCTATTTCTCCTCTTTGTTTTATGTGTGTATGTTGCTAGACCTTCTCTGCCAACACAGTGAAGCCTAGTACAGCACCCAGCACTGCAAGAGCTTGTTTCACTGCTGGGTTGAATGCTGCTTACTGGGTCAGGTGCCACTGTGCTCTTCCAGCCTTGTTCCCAAGGCTACTTGTTGCCTCCTCAGGAAATGCTGTGGTTGCATGGCTGGGTGCTGCTGTGTCACAGCTTGGCTGCAGTAATCTCCATGCAGGCACATCTCCCTTCCAATGGCTCCATGAAGGAAGGAAAGTTGTGATCTCATTTCTGTATCAGAACTTGGCAATGCTGCATAGGCTGGCAAGAAGCTGCTCTTTTTGTGGAGATCCAAGAGCTAAGTTTGGTGCATTTAAATACTTGCAGCAGAACTTCTGTGGTTAAATAAATAGGTATAGTGGCAAACCTGTGGGCTGTTATTGCTTTCACTCCTACCTTTGCATTAAAATGGTTAATTATCAATTAAAAATAAGGAGCTAACTCAGAAGTTGAAGAGGGAATACATGACTGTTTGTTTAGCAAAGCATCAGGAGTTGGCAGCTGTAACTTTACACTTTCAAACCTTGTTCCACCAAACCTAAATCTGCCAATATAATTTGTTTGTCTCTGCTGCTTCACAGCACCCTCTGCCTGCAACCCCAGCCTCTCCAGACCAGTGGGGAAGGAGGGAAACAAGGATGTGGTGCCGTGGATTCCCACTGACCAAGAGGCTAGTGTTGGGCACCTAGCTGCATGCACTGTGCCATACAGTGCCATGGGGAATGCTGCCATTGTTGTCAGAGCATCCAACAGTGGACAGAATAAATAAAACATTTTATGGTTCACTATTCTTATTGCCACAGGGTATGTCAAAACAGTTCAGTATTGAGGCTGTTCAGATGGCCTTTCGTGCTTAAAGGTGCCTACTTTTTTCTTGCACTTCAACATGCCTTCTCATGAGGGATTTGTAGGCTGATAAAAGTTTAAAGAGGAAAAATACCTATGTGAATTATTGAATGAAGTGCTAAGTGTATTTTTGTCTGAGTCCAGGCAGATATTAAACTTTAATCTGCTATGTAGGACTGAGAGTGTTTTTTTTTTTTTTTTTTTTTTTCCAGCGTTTAGGAAGATTTTGAGGAAACAAATGTCCAGTGAATAGTATCAGTTTATTCTCTTAAAATCGCAGACTTCACCAACAGTGAAGGTGAGAGCAGAAGCTGTAGCTGTAGCTGCAATATCTGTGAGAGCTGGTGGGAAAGGAGGGAAAGGAGGATGTATTGTGGTTTGCCACCCAAAGACCTGGTAACCATCTGTAGCTGTGAGTTTAATGGGGTAGAATGGACAGTTTTTCCTATCTTTGCATCTCAGGCAACTGGAGAGCCCCAGGAGATAACATTTAAACTGAAGATCTGTTTGAATTCGGTCTTCCTTATTTCCTTGAGAACGTTATGATTTTTGCTCCCTCCCTTCCGCTCTTTGGAGTTCTGGGTTTCCTTCCTTGAGCAGAGTTTAGGAGTGAGAACATCAGCTGCTCTCAGAACAGAGAGGCAGTGCACCCCTGCCAGGCACTGTGAGAAGCCCTGCAGTGTATCCAGCCACTGTGGCCTAATGCAAATGTTTGTGCATCTTCTTGCTTTGGGCATGTATGTTTGTGAGGAGAGATGTTCTTGCACAGTCCTTTGGAAAATGCCTGCTCCTGAGGCTCTTCTTGTAGAGAGGCCAACCCTTCCTGTCTCCAGACAGAATCTGTCCTCGTTAACTAGTAACCAGATCAAATATAACCTCCAAATGAAACCTTTCATTTCAGAGCCTGCAGCAAGCCATGCTGAGGTCATGACAGTCTGCAGAGTTGGCTTTGCAGCCAAGAGTCTTACAGTAAGTTGATAAGGAAGATTTTTATTGGCTTCAGTGTATATAGGTTGATGTGTGGGGAAGCTTTTGGTTTGTTTTTTTTTGTTTGTTTGTTTGTTTGCTTGTATCTTTTCTTTGAAAGCTTAAATTTATCTCTATCATGTACTTACATTTATGTAGTTGCTGATGCAGTTCTGATGTACTGATTGGTTGGAACTTCACTACCAGATGAGAGTATTTTCTGCGTAGAGCACTCTGGAGGAATAAGCAAAGTAATTGAGAGAGTCTTGTAGGGCTTCTTCATCTCTCTTCTAAGTTGGCAGTATTGGTACAAGGAGCCAGGAGCCCAGGTAAGGAAAAAGATCAAGTATCTGCTCTCCTTTTGGTTCATTGGCAAGATTGCTGTCTTCTCTGCCTTCGGTTTGATTATACTCTGTTGATTACACTTAACTCTCTAAGAAGCTTTTTGACTGAATGGCTGCATAAAAAGCACACTGAGCTCTCACTGCTACAGCACTGAGAAGACCAACTGGCTTCTTTGCTAAAGGAGCAAGCAATATCTTCACTTCATAAAAAAATATTTTTCACAGTAAGCTATAGAAGTCAGAATAGCATGGGCTTTGTAATTAAAAAATAAAATAACGATTTCACATTTCATTTAAACATTTTCAAAATGAGATAATCTGTTTTTACATTTTCTTTTTTTTTGTTGTTCTTTTGTGGCAAAACAGAATGACTATGTTCTGCTGCAAAAGCCTTTACAGTTTGTTGTTGGTTCAGTGACAGCATGAAGAAAAAAATATTTTGCAATTTTTCAGTGAATAAATGCTTTTCCTGAAAAAAGCATTCAGTCGTCAGGACTAAGAGCAACACAAGACCTGAAGAAAGGATTCACTGCAGAAAAGCAGCTAGGCAAAAAGGGATGAAAATGAATTTGTAGCCAGTTAGTGTTAAGTCTCTATTATTTCCATGCCCAGTAGGAAAAATGCTTAGTCATATTTTCATTTGTATTCGTAGAAAATATTTTTCAGAACACATAGAAACAATGAAGAGTAATAGCAGGTCTTTATTTGCCACATTCAAGACAATCGGTGAACAGTTTCTTAAATAGAATTAACATGCAGTCATGATTAATACTGAATAAGAGATCAGATGCCTTTGACTTGCATCCCTCCACATTACACTAGTTTAATTAATACTCTCTCACGTATTATCACTGCATTCCAGGTACACTGCTTAATGAAATATTTGTATTGCAAAATAGATTTATAGACCCAGCAGATCAGAAGAGACTAGTCACTAAGATACAGTAACTGTGAATGTTACAGTTCCTCCAGAGCTTTTACTATCTGTAGATAAACACCTCTACTATGGAGAAGACAGTGCTAATACAGCTGATCCTGCTGAGCCTGGTGGTTGGGAGCTGCCAAGGGTGCTACTGCGAACATTATCCATGGGGGTCATGGTCCAGCTGTTCAAAAACCTGCAATTATGGCACGCAGACAAGGCACAGGTAGGGACAAATCATCTCACTGCATTTATGGGTTTACTTTTTATACAGAAAAAAAAAAAAAAAAAATTACTCACAGGAGTGAGGTTCCATGTCTGATGCTTCAGCATCCATAATATATCTAGAAAAGAAAATGGTAGTGTCTAGCAGATGACTGGGTTTTAATTGCAAGGTTTAAAGCTGTGTATAGAATATTGCCATGCTTCCAAACAAACCTATTATTTCTGCACACACACAGTCAGAAGAGCCAGGTCCTGGGGTGGCCCTGCCAGCAGTGGGCATTGAGCAGCCAGCTCTTGTGAACAGGGCTGGTGCCCAGAGCCCATGCTGGGAGCTCTGCCCAGCACCAAGCAGCGCTCTGGAAGATACGAGTTCCAGCGTGGCAAGCTGACAGAAAGCTGCTTCTTGTACAAATAATTTTGCAATCACAGTTAACTAAAGATTCAACTGCACAAAACTACATGCAATTCAGGAGCACACTCTAAATTTACAAGAAATCCCTTATTTCATTCCTGGCTTAAGGTGTATTTAGATTTTACTTTCAAGTGTCACTCCAGAGCCACCCACTACCATTCAAGCTTTTATTGTTTTAAAACACTATCAGCCTTAACCTACAGTTATAGAAATCTACAGTTTTTTTCCATTCCGGTGTAACTCTTTCAGTGACCTTTTTCAGGCAAATAAAAATGGATGAATATTATAACCAGAACTTCTGTGACCAGCTGTGCAGCAAGCAGGAATCTCGTGTGTGTAACCAACAGACCTGCCCTATCAACTGCCAACTTGGAGACTTTGGCTCTTGGTCAGAATGTGACCCATGCATTAAAAAACAAGTAGGTAGACAGTGTATTATGCATGTTAAATGCAAGAAATTGTGCCTAAGTTTCTTGATTTCAGATATTTGATTTCAAGGAAATTGGTTCTGCAAAATGACGGTTTAAGTTAACAAGGTTATAACTGTTATAAATTGTAACAGTAGGAGCTGGAGGGAACAAGTTAAAATAAGTATATCAAAATAGAAAGGGGCAATTTAGTAGTGTAAATCCATTTATGAGAACTTGCTTTGAAAGTGCCACTGTCATTATTAAAGATGAGTTTTCTACATAAGAGATAAATTAAGCTGTAGAGTTTGCATTCCTGTTTCAACAGGGGCATGTCATGGAATCTTTCACACAGCATGACATTTTATATGTTCTGAAAATGAAAGATAATGGGATCAAGTCATCTACTGAAAAGAGATAATTGGCAAATCATAACTAGCACTGTTAAGAAATGCAGTATCATAGTCAGGATCAGTCTGAGGTTGCTGATGAGACATCCTTAGCACCTTTTCTGCAACCCTAATAGTCTACACAAAACCCAGATGGATGTGCTTAATATCTGTAGGACAAAATCCTCCTGTGGCTGAGTCTCTGGGCTTGTGCTGATTCCCTGATGGCAGAGTTAGGAGTTAAATGTACCTACCCTAGCAGAGAGAGAACAGGTGAAAGAACAGGTTCAGGTGGGACTGACACAAAAAGCCCTGGCAAAAAAAAGGTTGTAGGCAGCTTTTTGGGATAGTTACACAGCTGGTGAGTCCAAGGCTTACCATTGATCACTCTAAGTGTCCATGCAGACATAGCCTACAGCTCTTCTGAAGGTCCTGTGCAGCTTCAGAAATACACATCTGAACAGCACTGTCAGAAAGCCTGTTAGGTACTGTATGTATATCTTTATATGTATATATACCTATCTTGATGCCAGTGCAGAACAAAAAATGGTTTGGAGTTGGGGGGCCGTGAAGTAGCAGTTCTAGGAAACTACCTACAGCCAGGGTGGTGAGTGAGAGCAGAATGAGGAGAAATAATGGGAGACAGCAAATAAGCTGCAAGAACTGGAAAGGTTCTTATTGCTCTCATTTAAACTCATTTTTGTAATCCATATCCTCTAGTTAAATTTCTAGGTTCCGTACCTACACAACCCTGTGTAAAAGCTCGTTTTTATTAGCTTTATATATTCATGCAAAGCATTTGCTGCTTTCGAATAAATAAATAAATAAATAAAATAACTAGTGTTTTCGTAAGCTGAACATATTTTTCCTCCAAACTATAAAGATCACTACTTCTGACCTTTATAAATATGAACAGCCTTCAGAATGGGGATGTGCCCTCAAGATAAATGTGAAGACTGTTTTAGTCAAGTTCCCAGTGAATGGAATGATGAAGAGGTTAAAGCTCACACAAACAATATAACATGTGTTGTAGATTCCAAACAGAGTACAACAAAGGGTTGTCTTTAGTCAAAAGCCTTTTGAAAGTGTTGCTCTTTGTTCCCTCTGATCATAGTCACTCAGATACAGATTTATTTATTTTTGGCGTCCCATTCAATTGTTTGACTTCAAGGTCTGTCTAGAGGCAGGGTTGTAACGAAGTCTGCAAGGAACTGTATATCAATTGGGGAAATTTTTCCTACTCTTTCTTAGGGAAAGAACAGTTCCGTCAAAGGCAGATAAGTTTCTTCTGCAGCCCCTGGAACAGGGGTGGAAAACATAACTGAAATGATTTTCTAGCAACATTCAGCATCAATATTCTGCAAGGTGGGTTCTGATTTGGGGAAAGAAAAACAAATGAGATATCACTCCTGGATGTTTAACAATAGAAAATTTCAGAAATACAAATTCCCTCCTGCTCAATTCTCAGACAAGAAGCCTTGTTGAGAGAGAGCCAAGCCAACAGGTCTGGCAATAGCGATGCGTGCCCCACCATGGTATTTCTATTTCAACAGAGTTGATAAGGAACAGGAAAAACTCTCCCATTCACACATTTGTTTTTCTGCCCCCAGTTTCGTGTCCGGAAACTCCTGCGGCCATCTCAGTTTGGAGGCCAGCCCTGCACCGAACCACTGGTGCAATCCCGACCGTGCTTTCCAGCTAAGCTCTGCAACATTGTGGATATGGACTGCAAGAATAAATTCCAGTGTGAAAATGGTATGATAGCCATCACAGCTTAACTTCTACATAATTCAGTAGATAACAGATAATAGAAATAGATAATTCCAGGTCGTCCCTACGTATTCTGTGCACAGAGCTTAGGAAAAAGGGGCAGGGAGCTGAGGATTTTATGTTTAATGGGAACTTAATGTTTACATTTCTTCTTTAGTTAAAAGGAATTCATGGTTGTGCAATCTTTATCCTACAATGGTAGCATCACCATGGCTGCTAGAAAGTAGCACTGTTCCAATGAAATTCTTTTTGCACATTTTTCATGTACAAACATATCCTTATAGTTTGTCTGAAATGAAAATCGTACTGTTTTAATGAACTTTTAAAAATCATTGTGTTGGCAGTTCTTGTTTAATTTTAAATATACCTGCTTACATTTGATAATTTTATCCAAATTTCCTCTTGCCAAACCTTGACTTTGGCCATCATGCCTTCAAAGTAACACAAACTGGCAGAACAGAAACAAATATATTTACTGAAGTAATATATGCATTGAAGTGTCTTACTCTGGTAATTCCTGTTGCAAGTTTACACCGTTGCTAGAGAAAGAGACTACTCTTTTTTGCATTCAGGTGTGACAAATCATTGCAAAAGTCCTCTTGCTGCTGCTTTTTCTCTGATCCAGGTCGCTGTATTGCAAAAAAATTGGAATGCAATGGAGAAAATGATTGTGGGGACAACTCTGATGAAAGTCATTGTGGGAGGAAAAAGATGGTGTGTAGCAGAAAGTTTGAGAGCATCCCAGGTGTTCATTTAATCGGCAGTGGGTAAGCCAACTTTGTTTTTTCACAGGCATTATATTGCTTATCAGTAACTTACTTAAAAAAAGACAATTCTAAAATTTGCATGCGAGAGTAAACCATTAAAACATGACCTCTTAAATGAAAAGTAGTAAGAGGTTATAAGAATGTAACTAAACAGCCAGGCTTGGACTGGCCTGCTGCATCTGGCAAACCTATTCTGCCCTACTCCTGCTGCAGGAGCCATCAGGAGCACTGCTGTAAGGGACACTGCCTGCCCTCACAACAACCAGAACACCACTTACTGACAAATTTCAGCTCAGTTATTACAAAGCATTTCAAAAATTTAGAGGATGTTCTCTATAGACGTTTGGTTGTGCATGATACATCTTTTGCAGTACCAGCCATCACCTCTTCCAGACTACTAATTAAAGCAGTGCAACACCTATGTGCATTTGAAGCCTGCCCCAAGTGTTGTGTTTCTGAATGAACTCAGTGCACTCTGGTAACAATCATTTGTGGCTGAGTTGGAGAACAGCATGTTAATTTCCATGCGCCATTTTATTGTGTTTCTCTACTTGAGTCAGTGGTTGTCCAAGTCTTATGCTGACCTTGGTGTTGTAGTCTGGTTGTATAATTTTCCAGGTGAATTCAGGGTGAATCAGAAATTCTTATGGAGAAATTTCTTTCAAAGCACTTGCAGAGCCTTAACACTTACATCTTCTCATTCAAACATAAAGCATCCTTGTCGCATCTGTACACAACAAATGATATATATTTATGTTTTTCTGAGACCATTTAATTTCTGGAAATTCCTTTTGTTGTTGTTGTTGTTAGATTTCACATTTTGTCAGGAGAGAGCCGAGGGGAAGTCCTTGGCAACTCGTTCAATGGAGGAGAATGCAAAACAGTGAGACGCAATGAGACAAGGAAATTATATCGTGTGCCTGCAAATCTGGAGGCTGTCAGCTTTCAGGTACTCTTTAGCAGCAACTTTTAGCAAAAAAATAAAACATTTTCATAAACGTAGTCCAAGTTATATGCTGAAGTCTTAGGAAGTCTTAAGAAGACAAGATTTTTCAGCCTGCTGAGGCCTGAAAGTGCTTCAGGTGATGTGTGGAAATGGGAAAAAATTGAGCAGTGTTAGGTGGCTCTACTTGTATCTTTCTCTCACTTTCAAGTGAGTGTTTACTCAGAATCAACACAAATTGATCTCAGCTTCTCTCCTGCTTCCTCATGATTGTGGCCATGCCTCTGCTGTGACTTGGTATGCAAGTTCTTGTTCCCAACCATGATATAATCCAGCCAGTGGCTTGGAAAAGACCAAACTCATTTTAGCATTACTGATGAATCCTTCCAGTACCAACAGCTCTCCCAACACAAGCCTCCTGTTGAAGCATCTGCAACTTTGGGAGAAGCTCCTCCCTTAGCTGTTTCAGCCTCTGAGTCCAGCCTGTCCCCTGACCAGCCCTTCCAACCATCAGTAAAAAGAGGCAGATACAGAGCCTGCGAAGCAGGACAAAATTCTGGGAAGAAGTCTTGCAGAACAGGCCAAGAAAAAAGGACATTGTTTTTTATTTTTCCTCAAATCTTGGAATGTGATTTTCAGGCAGGATATTTTAGACTTTTAAACACTGATATTTATAAAATAATTGGGATATTATGGTTAAGGTGAAGTATCTGGCCGCGTACATACTGGAAAGCCCTCTCTGAAGCAAATGGCTACAGCGTTGGGAAGAAAGGGATGCAGGACATAAAAAAGGTTGAAGGAGTGGAAGAAACTGAGCTGTTGTTTATTGAGATGAATGTTGTGAGATTTTACTTTAAAAGGCACAGCTGAACAAAGCGAATTCCAACATTGTCTGGTTTGGTGAATGGCATTAAAGAAGTACTGTGTGCAGAAATGTTCTGTGGGAAAAACAGGTCTTGGTTTGCCCAATTTTTCCAAGCTCTTTGGTTTATGAGTAATTAATGTCCATCTGCAAAAATATTATGAGTTTGTAACTCTCACCTGAGCTTGCATCTCTATTTTTCAACATAGTAGTTTTTGATATAGAAATGTCACTGAATCAGCTTTCTGCTTGGAACTCCAGTGTATTTTAATGCAAAAGCATGTGTTTTCTTGGAGAACAGAACTGGATCAGAGGAGTGGACATCACTGCCCGAAGTCCTTCACAGATCCTACAAAGCCTTATTAAGTGAGCCTGAAATGGTAAAAAATGAATCTAAAGGCCACAGATCTTGCAAGGGATTTGCCTTAGTTATGGGAAATGAGTCACTTTTGAATCGATGTTCAAGATGCCTTAGTATCACTGCTTAGCACAACAGAATAACTGAGTCTTGCCAGTGTATACTGATAAGTTCACTCTCTGTTACTATTCATCTGCTTCTAGTCCATTGTGTGATACGGTGACTTACACTACAGGTATGCTCTGACTCCCATCTGGATAAAACCTGCTCGTTCTTCTAGTCCCTTCTAGAAGGGAATCAAGAAAGTAAAAAACACACCATTGTACAATACAAAGGGCATGCATAAGTATGTTCTGAGACTTACTTTTAGTGTGGACATAATATGCAGGTATGAGAGTCTTTGAAAAGCATGCTGAAACATTCAAGAAAAATTGTTCTTAAGATTCAGGGCAGGGGGACTGGGGATTTCTAGAAGAAAATGACTTCTTTTTCTTTTTTTTTTCTTTTTTTTTTCTTTTTTTTTTCTTTTTTTTTTTTTTTGCTTTGTATAGCTGCCCACTGTATAGCCATCTCCTTACCCTAGAACAGCTTTTTAGCTTATTGTTATGTTCCCAAGCATCAAGCATATCTATTCCAGAAGAAGCCAAGAATTCATTGTTTAATACATTGCTCCCTTTCAAGTTGTTATTAGGGCAAATTGATTCTGATTTACTGAATCTCTAGGTAATAGATGAAGAGGATGATGTAAAATCAGATTTCTACAGGGATTTAACGCCTCTGAGTGACGGAGATGTGGGAACTGGTACATCCTCTCATTCATCTCAGAGAAGATCTGGCATACCGGGTCTATTCTCAAAAAAGAGAAAAGTTCAAGTCACATCACATTCCTCCTTCAAGAAAGCCATTGAAGCCTCACATGAAAAGGTAATTGAATGCTGACATCAATTTCTTCCTTTCTTTGAGTTTCCATCTTCTTGTTTAGGGGAACTGAGCTACTACAGGTCATTATCCACTAACAAGGTATATTGGGATTACATTTTGCAAAACTACTAGAATTAAAAATCGAGAAGGTCCTCTCCTGATTCTACAGGTTGTTCCTGGTTGCTACATACTTTCTGTTAAGCTGCACACAGTCACAAAAACAATCCCAGAAATAACACATCAAGAGAAAAGTTTCTGAGAGCAGACAACTACTTCCCATAAAATTCTGCCTCTCTAATTCAGGTAAATACTGTGAAATATAATATTAGGATACTTCTAGAGTTTAATGATACTAAAGGATCAACTATTCTTTTGTCTGAAATTACACCTGGCAGAGGCCATAAAACTGTTCAAAATTAAAGCTTGTTGAAACTAACGAGTTGTAATAAAATTATAGTGAATATTTACAAAAACATCTGTTTTAATGTTTTAATGACAGAAGATTTATTACAAGCTTACAGGCTTGTCTTAATTGTTAAGTAACTTGACTGATTAAGTAGTCCATTATCTATATTCTGAAATAATCTTTGCTTAAGTTCCATCTACTGGAATTCTATTTGCTTTCATTCTGATGCAGTTATATGTATCAAGTTTTTCTTCTTCTTAAAGGTTTAAACCCAGTCCCAAACTATGTAAAGAAATGTGAATATCAATGAAACTTTCTTGAGGAAGGTTTATTGGACTTAAATTTGTTTCGAACTTTATTGTCATGAAATCTCAGAAACACACATGTGAAAGCTGATAACTTGGTCTGCTGTTGGCTGTAGATGGCTAATTTCCTCCTGACTGTGTCCACGGCTTTCAAAATGAAAAGACTTTTCATTTTGATCTTCCTCAGGTTCCTTACCATATGTTACAGGAAGCCACTGTTTTCACCTGTGCCCACCTGTATGCAGTTTATTTATAGGTATATACAACAGCAGATATCTACTTACATATGTATATGAAACAAATCTATAAATTTAAAATATTCACTTAGAAAGTGAAAGTAGTTTAAACAGGTCACTGACAAGAAGTGGGAAGTCACAATCTGAGAGGTCAAATTCAGACCAGAATTTCAATTGCAAGCAGAACAGCTTCACATAAGCATCACAGAGTCACTGTAGGGCCTAAGTGACTTGAAAGGTCTTGAATTTTTCCATTTTGTTAAGAGGAAATATGAATATGTTTCTGATGCTTATTTTTGTTTCTCTATTATTATTATTGTTGTTGTTGTTAAGCTAATCTTTAGGCCCTTTAGTACATCATCTCTTATTCTAATTTTTAAATAATTTTCATGACAGTAACGACCCCTTTGAGGTCTTCTGTTTGCATCAAAACAAGCACTTTGGGTGGGATACATCTTGCATATCTGCAGACAATGACAGTTTTACAGAACCCTGCATCTCAGCTAGTTGCCCTCATTTTGTATAAGTTAAAAGAAACTCGGTGGATTTTTACATAAATGTGAGTGCTCTGAATAGTGTTCCAGCAGGGCTTAAAGGGAGCCCCAATTACCAGCTGTCACTCTTTACTACTAAATATAAGGAAAGACTCATAAAGTGAAACTTTAATATTATGAATTATTATTATATTATCCATTTCATCATAAACTTGATTAATCTTGCCCATCATGCTGAATGTTGTTATTTTTATGTACCATTTTCTTCTTTTATTTATTTTTTTTTACTGAATTTCATAAATTTTTTCAAACTCCATTTTCCTTTGAGATGGAGAAGTTATCTCAGAATTGGCACACTGGTAATTGCCTGATAGCATGTGTGTTCCAGGCATTCAAAGACACCAAGGGACTCCTGAAGTTTTTGTGCCCAACCCATTGGATCATGCTCCTAATATTCTTGGCTGCAGCTCACTGAGTTGAACAACAATTCAAAAATTGAGATCTGAAAGATCAGAAGCCATCCCATCCATGGGGATGTGAAACACAGAGAGGCAAGATTCCATGCTTGCATTACTTGGAAATAAACATTATTTAATTAACCAGTATGTTCTAGTGAGAGTCTGTTTGTTAGAAATGTTCTAATTAATTAAAACTATTGGTTTCATCAGTCCAGCTCAGCTTGTGTCTGGCTGTTTTTTTGTTTTGGCAGTTGAGTAGTTTTTATATTATATCTGAACTTATTTGCGTATTTGCACTTGATTTAGACCAAGATTTTGACTGAATATCTTTGGGAATAATCACCTGTTGATCTACAGCACTGTATTTTGTATTAATACTTGTTATTCATGGATAAAGATTGGCACCAAGGATTACCAGAATGTTTAGACATGTGACCAGAGATAACTGGAGACTTTGGAATCCAGTTTCCTGAATTTCTTCTTCAAGTAAAAGTTTCCAAGGTTGTTCAAGCCTCAGGGATTTAATACAGAAGTCAGTGGGTTTGACAACTGTAAGGGAAATTGCTAGTAAGAAAAGCACTTAAGATACTTTCAATATTAGAGAATATAAATGTGTGGTGCAAGGCAAGAAAAAAAATATTTTTTGGTATGCAGGAGCATCATATTCACCCGAGCATTTAGAATTAAAGTTTGCCAAAGTTGCCTGTAATTTTGTGCATCATAGCTGAAATGTTATATGGTATGGCTGAAAACTGAGCCCAAATCACCTGGAAGTTATTTTCTGAGAAATGATATTACCTCAGGGTATTTTAGGAGCAGAGTACAGTCCAGGGAATATTACATACCCTATTTCTTCCATTTTTATTCTCACTGCTACAGAAAGCTAAGTTTATCTTCCAGCATGCAAACGAGAGCACTGAAATGGACAGTGCTGTGCACATCTCAGTGCTGTGGTCCGGCTCACATGTTGTTATGTTGCTGATTCTTGGCTGAAGAAACTTCATACTTAATGCAGTCTTATGTCTTCTATGCCACATGAACCTGAAGCCAGAAGTGGAGCAGAATCAACCCATCAATACGAAAACGCAATAGAAGAACCTTTATATGGACCAGTATCAATTTTGTTTATAATGATTTTTTTCTTTCTGCAGATTACTCATTTGATCTTCTTTCCCATCACTCCTTTTGCTCCTGATCTCTTAGCTTCAGGTTTTCTTTTTTTCTTGTTGTTTCGGTTTGTTTTGTTTTTGCCACATTACCAGTTTCTCCATTCAGTATTCTTTTTCTCTCTTCTCTTTTTAGTTGAATTCTCTCATTAACAACCTTCAACAAGGAAAACAAAAAAAAATTAGCTGTCTCAAAAACTTGAGTTTTCTGAACGTAAGAGGTGATGCTTCTAGTTTCTGAACTTTCTTCTTTGCTTTCTCTTCCACCCATATCACACCCCAGACCTTGCACGTTAACAGCCTGACCCTGAATTAAATCTTTATTCCTGTATCTAGTTTTAGCAGACTGATAAACAACATTTGAGACCTCATAATAGTGAGGTAGTATCCAAAATACCCACTCACAGTTAATTACAAACAGCTCACAGATACTTACTAGCTTCAGCCTTTCCTCCTAGTCTTTTGGCTATCTTATCAATTACTGGTATATTTGCTATAGCAGAAGTCATTTTGCTTTCTGTTTGTCTACTGCTTAGGAATTCTTAAATCACATTGAAATCCTATACACTCCCACAACGCTAAGCAGTAATGATTGTTGTTCCTGAGAACCTCACAGGATGCTTGGAAATTCCAGGGCTATTCTGTATGAGTTTAATCGTGGTTAAAGCATCATGATGGACTGGATGAAATAGGTTTTGCAATGTAGCTCAGATCATACTCTTGGCCACTCTATTTTCTGCAATCGACTACCCATGAAAGCGGCAAGGCTATGTTATTTCATTTTATTTTATTTTATTTATTTTATATCTAGAATTCCAACTTTATTAGAGTCCATAAAGTCATCTCTGTTGCAAACTTCACAATGAAAGAGTCAGATCTGCAGCTCTCAGATGTCTTTCTAAAAGCACTAAACCAGCTGCCCCTGGAGTACAACTATGCTTTATACAGCAGAATATTTGATGACTTTGGCACTCATTACTACACCTCAGGAAGGATGGGTGGTTCTTACGACATTCTTTACCAATATAGTTCCGAGGAATTGAAGAACTCAGGTATGTAATCTTTAGCAATTTGTTTACCATTGTTCTTACCATTTTCTATTTTTAGGTCTTACACCACATAGAAAACTCAATAACTAACAGAAAAAAAATCCCTTAGATTTGCATAGACAGAGGAATTACTCACACCACCCAAATATAAAGCAAGAAGAAACTTCTACTCCACTCTTTATTTTGAAAAATTGAATATCTTCTTTAATTGGTAAATGTCACTGTGTTCATGGCAGTATTTAGGACCTTCAAATCCAAATTCTTTGACACCAAGAAGGCTTTCCAACATACCCCATTGTGGGACTGAGGTCTGAGAGATATGTCGCCTTCTGGGCTACAGTTTTAGAGCTGTTGATATTGATTAGAAATTAGTCTGAAACTCAATCCATGACTGCTAGATTGTCAAAATGAAAACAAAATATTACAGAAGGAGAAATTCTTGATTAATAGTTATGATATTTAATGCCACCACTGTATCTTGTATGGGTAAGGGAGGATACCTACAAGGCCTACAGGTAAGTATGATGCATTCTACTGCTGTTTGTAGCCAGGGAATTGGGTACCTTCAGGAGCAATGTCTGCTTCTGTAATATTAGTGGTCTTTATCCAGAGTGCTGCAGCAATCGGTGGTAATTACTGCTCCAGGCAGAGCAGTCTGTTGGTATGACCTGGGCTCAGATGAAGGTTTGCTGTTCCCACCCACTCTGTAGAGTAGCACCCTGGGTGACTGGATTTTGATTTTGAACAGCAAAGGACTGCTCCATGGTGCACCAGAAGAAGGAAGGGTTGTCAGATACAACAGAAGAGGTGATATAGGAGAAATACCTAGACAGGAATAGGCTGAGTTTAAGTGAGTCTATGGTCAGCACCTGATGAAACTGGTTTGATGAGGAGCAGAACACACCCTGGCAGCAGAGACAATGGTGGATCAGGAGCTTGAATGGAGAAAAGAGGTCAGAAAGAAATGAGTGAGCAGGGAGACCTGTGATGCAACAGATCTATGGTGATGCAGCTGCTGCTTTTGTACTTCTAGGTCTGTCAGTGGATGAATCAATGGAGTGTATTCGAACAGAAACAACGAGGCGTGTGTTTTTCCGAAAGAAGAAGAAAGTCAGTACTGAATGCGTCACAAACAAGATGACTGTGAAACATGAAGGTAACTATGACAATAACAGGGTTTGTATCCTATTAGTTATCCTGAGTTATCCTCAACAAGGCACACCAGGTCCTCCCAGCTAGAGGAGTTCTTCCAACACTAGAGGTGTTCTTCCAACACTGACAGAGAAGCCAGTGTTCATGGAATCACAAAATCAACAGGTTGGAAAAGACCTCCAAGATTATCCAGTCCAACCATCCTCCTCCCACCAACATTTCCCACTAAACTATGCCCATTAGTACAACATCTAAATGTTTCTTGAACACCTTCAGGAAGAGTGACTCCACCACTGGGCAGCCTGTTCTAAAGCCTAACTGCTAACTGCTCTTTTGGAGAAAAAATTTTTCCTAACATCCAACCTGAATCTCCCCAGCACAACTTGAGGCTGTTCCCTCTAGTCCTATCACTAGTTAAGTGGGAGAAAAGGCCAACCCCCACCACCCACAAACTCCTTCGAAGTGGCTTTAAGGATAAGGTTTCCACAGAGCCTCCTCCAGAATAAAAAAATCCCAGTTCCTTCAGCTTCTCCTCATAAGACTTGTGCTCCAGTCCCCTCACCAGATTTGTTGCCCTTCCATGAACAGGCTTCAGAGCCTCAATGTCTTTCTTATAGTGTGGGGCCCAAGACTGGACATAGTTCTTGAGATGTGACCTCACCAGGACTGAGTACAGAGGGAAATCACTTCCCTGCTCCTGCTGGCAGGACTGCTGGCCAAGATGTTGGCATTCTTGGCTGCTGGTTTATGATCAGCCAAACTTTAACCAGCACCCCCAGGTCCATTTCTTTCACACAGTCTTTCAGCCACCCTGCCCCAAGCCTGTACCATTGCCTGGGGTTGTGGCCAAAGTGCAGGATCCAGCACTTATCTTGTTGAACTTCATCCCAGCTTCATTCCAGCTATCCAGCCTAACCAGATCCCTCTGTAGGGCCTTCCTACCCTCAGGCAGATCAGTACTTCCTGTCAACTTGATGTCATCTGCAAACTTACTGAGGCTGTACTTACTCGGTGAGATGATTCAACATGATCTGAGACAGTGAGCACAGCTTCACCAAGGGCAGATCGTGCCTGATGAATCTTGTGGTCTTCCATGATGGAGTGATGGCATAGGTAGATGGGGGAAGGGTGATGGATGTCATCTTCCTGGACTTCTGCAAAGCCTTTGACATGGTCCTTCACCACATCCTTCTTTCTCAATTGGAGAGGTGTAGATTTGAAGGATAGACAGTATGGTGGATTAAGAATCGGTTGGCTGAACATAGCTAAAGGGTTGTGATCAATGGTTCTGTTTCAGGGTGGAGGTGGGTCACAAGTGGTTTCCCTCAGGGGTTGGTCTTGGGATCAGTGCTCCTCAGTATCCTCATCAGTAACATAGATGATGGCATGGAGTACACCCTCAGCAAGTTTGCAGATGAGCAGCGTGGTCCATACACTGAAGGGAACAGACACTATCCAGAAGAACCTGGACAGGCTGGAGAAGTGGGACCATGAAAACCTAATGAAGTTCAAAAAGGCCAAGTGCAAGGGCCCAAGTTGCACTTGGTCAGAGCAATCCCAGGTATTTATACAAACTGGGTGAAGATTTCCTTGACAGCAGCCCTGTGGAGAAGGACATGGGGGTTCTGGTGGGCAAGAAGCTGGACATGAGCCAGCACTGTGCGCTTGCAGCCTGGAAGGTCAACTGTGTTCTGGGCTACATTAAAAGAGGAGTGGGCAGCAGGGAGAGGGAGGTGATTGTCCCCCTCTACTCGGCTCTTGTGAGGCCCCATCTGGAATACTGCTTCCAGTCCTGGAGTCCCCAGTACAGGAAGGATGTGGAGCTCTTGGACCGGGTCCAGAGGCGGGCCATTAAGATGACCAGAGGGCTGGAGCACCTCTCCTATGAAGAAAGATTGAGAGAACTGGGCTTATTCAGCTTGGAGAAGAGAAGGCTCCAGGGAGAACTCATTGTGGCCTTCCAATACTTGAATGGAGCATGTAAATAGGAGGGGGAATGACTTTACATGGGTTGACAGTGATATTACAAGGGGGAATGGTTTTAAATTAAGATGTGAGACCTAGGTTAGATATTAGAAGGAAATTTTTCACTCAGAGATGGTGACACACTGGAACAGGTTGCCCAAAGAATGCCCCATCCCTGGAGGCATTCAAGGCCAGGCTGGATGTGGCTCTGAACAGCCTGGTCTGGTTGTTGGCAACCCTGCACATAGCAGGGGGGTTGAAACTAGTTAATCATTGTGGTCCTTTTCAACTCAGGGCATTCTACGATTCTGTGATTCATTCCCCTGGTCCAGCTCACAGCATCACAGACTGGCCAGGGTCGGAAGGGAACTCAAGGATCATGAATCTCCAACCCCTCTGCCACATGCAGGGCCACCAACCTCCACATTTAATACTAGACCAGGCTGCCCAAGGCCCCATCCAATCTGGCCTTGAACACCTGTAGGAACGGGGCATCCACAACCTCTCTGGGCAACCTGTTCCAGCACCTCACCACTCTCTCTGTAAAGAAATTCCCTCTGAGATCCAATCTAAATCTTCACTCCCTCAACTTAAAACTATTTCCCCTTGTCCTGCTGTTATCTACCCTTTCAAAGAGTTGATTCCCCTCCTGTTTACAGACTCCCTTTAGGTACAATGAGGTCACCTTGCAGCCTTCTTTTCTCCAGGCTGAACAAGCCCAGCTCTCTCAGCCTGTCTTTGTAGGGGAGGTGCTCCAGTCCCCTGATCATCTTCGTGGCTCTCCTCTGGACCCTTTACAACAGCTCTCTGTCTTTCTTGCACTGGGGGCTCCAGACCTGGACACAGTACTGCAGATGAGGCCTCTCAAGAGCAGAGTAGATGGGGACAATCACCTCCCTGTCCCTGCTGGCCACCCCTCTTCTGATGGAGCCTGCTTTCCAAGGTGCAGGAACACTGAACTGCTGGCTCATATTAAGCTTTTCATCCATCAAGACCCCCAGGTCCTTCTCCACAGGGCTGCTCTCAAGGACTGCTCCTTCCAGTCTGTATGGATGCCTGGGATTCCTCTGGCCCAAGTGCAGAACCTTGCACTTTGTTGCGTTGACTCTCATCAGGTTCACCCAGGCCCACCTTTTAAGTCTGTTGGGATGCCTCCGAATGGCATACCTTCCTTCCACCGTGTCAACCACAACACTCAGGTCACCAATAAAGACACTGAACAGGACAGGCTCAGTACCAACCCCTGGGGAACAGCCCCTTGTGTTGCCAGTGGTTGAAAGTGTTTCACTGTTTCACTGAAGCAAGCATCAAAAACAACTTCCTGCTTGCAAAATTATGATAGAGGAAATCTCATCCTCTGCTCTGGAGTGCTGTAACTTGAGACACCGTGTCACTGGCTCTGGCAGTCATGGGTCTGACAAGCATGGCAAGAGCCAGGCTTGCTGAAGTGAGAAACCTGTGATTCCCTGATTGCTCAGAGCTGCTGAGAAATCTGGGCAATGTAAGGTACTCTGAAATTCCCCTCCCATCTTCCTCATCCTAAACAGACATCAGGAAGCCCCCACCAATGCATCTCATACCATGGAAGGTTTACACAATTTCTGAAAGAATGGTAAGGGTTGTGTTCTGCACCACTCACCTCCACTGCTTTTGCACTCATTCTGTGATCAAGTCCAATTCAACAGGCATTTATAACTGGGACCAAAGATCCTGCCTTGCAGTGCATTCTTCTTCTAGAGAAGCCTGTTGTATCCCATACAATTTCACAAGTCTCTTGTGTAGTTGAGAATATCTCCATGGCAGCAGTCTCACACAGCCTTCTTTAGGAAATTGATACATCACTAAGCAGAATAGGAATATTTTTTTTTCTGAGCTTAGACTCATTTCTTCCGAGGGTAACTTTATAATATTTTAGTATACATTTCTATCCTCTTACACTTTTCCTTATGATGCTGTTGTTGTCTTTGAAGGCCTTTATCTGACATTTCTGTTCTGAAATCCCTTCAGGTTCCATTTTGGAGTCAGCAGAACGGTCAGTCTCACTGGTCAAAGGTGGCAGATCAGAGTACGCTGCTGCTCTGGCCTGGGAGAAAAAGGGGGCTTTTCCAGGGAACACAATCTTTACAAACTGGCTGGAATCGACCAAGGACAATCCTGTGGTAATTGACTTTGAGGTAAGAGAAGGTTAAGAAAAATATCGATAAATGCCCCACAGCCAGCAGCTATGCAATCCTGCCCTTTAAATCCAGATAATGTTGAATGTGAGGTGAATTACATGCGCACACACATCTGGGCAAGATATAAAGAAAATTATGTGCCTTTCCTAGTTGGATCTACATTGCAAAGTATGGCACACAGTTAAACCGAAGGTAAGTGCTAACTGAATGGCTGTTTTCCAGGTGTCGTCCATTGTGGATCTGGTGAAGAACATGCCTTGTGCTGTGACCAGGCGACGCAACCTCAGAAGGGCCCTGGGGGAATATGTAGGCAGGTTTGACTCATGTCAGTGTGCCCCGTGCCCTAACAATGGCAGGCCTGTGCTTTCTGGGACAGAGTGCCTCTGCTTGTGCCAGGCTGGCACCTACGGCACAAACTGTGAGATCCGAGCTCCAGGGTATGAGTCAGGTGAGTGTGATGATACTGTCATGGTGTAAATGGGGTTTGCCTGTTATAGAGGCCATAACAGGCTGTGGTCAGGAATTCCTGTGGTACAGGAGAACTGAGAAGGTAATCATTCCTTTCTTAGACTGTTTGAAAATCAAATTTGCTGTATTTTCTAGAGAACAAAACTCTGAAATTTCACTGAAAAATAAAAACATGAATGATTTTATAAATTCATTTATGAGTGTATAAACATAAAGAAACATAAATATTTTTATTTTATATAAAAATGCATCTATTTGCACAAGAAATGCATCACTTTATGCATAAATTAATAAATGTAGCATATACATGTTTCATGCAGTTCATAGAATCATAGAATCATAGAATCATAGAATCATAGAATCATAGAATCATAGAATGGCCTTGGTTGAACAGGACCACAATGATCATAGAGTTTCAACCTACCTGCTGTGAGCAGGGTCACCAACCACTAGACCAGACTGCTCAGAGCCACATCCAGCCTGGCCTTCCACTCTTCTTTCCACTGTCTATCAAAAAGTGTTTTTCTGAGCACAGTGGTATTTAATCCTACCCTTAGAACAACAGAAAAGCTCTTGCTAACAGGGCTGCAGCCACTGCAGAAATATTGAAGATTTAATCCTGATACAGCCTGTCCTGCCCCTCTCTGGGCTGGCTTTTTTCAGGCATCTTTCAAAGTGCTCAGAGTCCCTAGGCAGGAAAATTTATTTCTGCAAGGATGTTATCTGTTAGACAACATACACAAAAGATAGCTGGGATTTATCAAGATATTAGGATAAGCAGTAGACTGTATGCTTTCCCACTTAGACCTCAGGAAGTCTTTGGCCAGGGAAGCATCAGCCATGTGGGGAAGGGCTGTTCACAGTTGAACTCTGGGCCAGGTCCTCAATGTTGTTAAACTTTTACATTCTCACCAGTTATTTATTTATTTTTTTAAACAAAACAAAATAAAACAAAATATAACCTTGTGATATCATAAATTCACATCATAACTTTTACCTCAAAATCCTGTCAATTTAGTCGAAGATAAATATGATGTAATCTTCCCTTCCAAAATTCATGCAACTTCTTACCCCACTGTGATCAGAAGGTATTTAAATAAAGGGGCAACTACTAATAGAAAATAATACAGAATAAGCATAGCATTTAAAAGAAATTAAAAGACATGATAAAAAAAATCCGTAAGCTACATTTATGAGATAGTGTGAAATAAGTTGTTTAGCAAAAAGGATGAAATTAGGACCAAAGATAATTGATGCAAAAACTAAGAAATCCATTCCTCATTTTTCTTATGGCTTATTTTACTTATGATAAAATATCTAATGGATATAAGAGTTGTTAATTATAGTGTAGAAGGAAAAATCTATTTGAAATGTCTTAAGGATAGGGAACAAAGTCATAATTCTGAAAAAAATTAAGAATAATTTCACACAAAAGAAGTTTTTTCAAAAGAATTTGGCATTCATGTAGAAAATAGAAGAGACGTAGTATATTATTATGTTGGTTGTGTTAAAAGAAAAAGTATCTCAACAACTATGTGCTTCAAAAAGAAACAATATAAGATATGCAAATAAAGATATGGATGTGGATAACGTATCTCACAAAGAACAGAAATGGTGTGTAAATAGTAATTCTTATGTAATGCTTTGTGGTGGCACAGGCAAATAGCCTGGTGGGTGAGAAAAGACAGTGATATTTTAATTCAGTTTGTGTGGGAAGTAGATTTGGTGTTTAGACTTAGTTTTAGAGCTCATATTTAATTTGATAGCTTATCCTTTCATGAGTTGTCAGAACCAGAAAATGCAAACATCTGTGTGTGAAGTAGAATATATACTGCTTCTGGATTTAAACGTGACTTGCAAACAAAACTGGAAAGCAAGGCCTCTCCTGAAGCTATCTGAAATTTGCCTGACTATCTCTTTGGAAAGCCTCATAATCTACTCTGTTAACAGTAGTAATTTTAAATCCTCTGAAAATGACTACTATGAATTTACCATCATCTCTCTGATATGTTGACTAAGAACTTCTATATATGATATTTGTCAAAAAAATTGGGCTTTCTTTTATTTCTTGCAGTTGCTGTAGATGGTCGCTGGGGTTGCTGGTCTGAATGGAGCTCATGTGATGCTACTTTCAAGAGAAGAAGGACCCGGGAGTGTAACAACCCATCCCCAATGAATGGTGGAAAACCTTGCAAGGGTGAACAGGAAGAAGAGGAGGACTGTTATGTCTCTGTGTTCATGGACAAGTAAGAAGATGGTTGATCAAAAGACTCTTCAGTCATAAGACAGAGTTACAGAGCCCTCCAGAGTGGCTTTGTGACCAAGGAGAAATGACAGACAGCTCCCCTTTCTGAACTTACGTGGTATGGGCTGAGAAAAGGAAATATTTGAAAATTTTTGTAACTTGCTTCAGGTTGAGACTTACTCATTATTTATTCTTAGAAAATGGCTGATTAATGACATCCTAAAGTATGGCTGTAGATGTCTTAAACTTTTTTATGGCTTCCTGGCCAGAGCTATGCAGAAGTCATCTTCTTACACTCACAGGAGCGGGCAGTTTCTTTATTTTTTAGTACTACATTCTCTTAAAGGTTTAAGTCTGAGCTCAGTGCCTTGGAGAGAATTCCTCTGAAATTAACAAGCTTTTCAAATTTCTGCATTGATTACATTTAATGTACAAATTTTGCATGGTTTCATCTTGCATGGAAATCATAATTCCAGCCCCAAAAGAGGCTCAGTTTCTTGCATCTTTAAGAATAAGATTTTCAGCAGGTTCAACTGCTGAGAATCACATGCAGAAACAGATGAGCCAATATTTTCCGTGCTGTAATGACAGCAGAGGAGATTATGGAGCAGATAGGAGAGAGAGCATGAAAAGCAATGGACCATGTGGTTCTTTGTTACTTACCTCAGAGACTAGGCTTTACAGCTCCACACTGATAGAAACCAGCCTCCTGTAACCATTGACTGATAGCAGTGATTGGGTTATGACCACATAAGCATTTTAAGGGGGTATTTTAAGTGTTCACATTAGACATGGCAAAAACCTACTGTATCACAACATTATTACTGATAAACCTAACCAAACTGGCTTCTCACTTTTTTTTTTTTTTTTTTTTTTTTTTGAGGCAAGTACTCTGAGCATACCTGACCAAAACTTTTGACATTATGCCATTGTTTATTGTTTGTTGACAGTTGCTTAAGATGAATCTTTACCAGCAATTTTTACTTTTCAGAGGAGCTCCTTGTATTAATGATGATGAAGCAAAAAGAGAAGAGGATATTGTGATTGGTGAGCTTGAGACTGGATGCTCCAGGCCAGAACCCCCAGAAAATGGGTTCATAAGGGTGAGCGTGAAAAATGATTGAGATGGAAGGAAAACACACTAGTTACAGTCTCTTTGTTAGATTGATACCCAAGCAAATAAGTGTGCTAGTGAGAATGTTGCTGTGGGACTCCAGTTCACCAGCATCCATGAGCAAGTGAATCAAAGGCAAAGTGAAACCCATCCCAAACTGGTCATTGAATATTTTGTAAACATGGATTTATTTAGTGTGGCTGGACAAATACTCTGTAGGTGACTAGATGACTCTTGTTTCAGAGAAGGAAAACCACTTAACTTCAGGACTTTAAGCACTGATTTATTTTACAACGTCTATTTTCATTCAGATTTTTTACAGTCTTTTTTATTTTGGGGGCTTTATTTTGTCAGAATGAAAAGAACCAGTATGCAGTGGGAGAAGAAGCTGAAATTGCCTGTGTAAGTGGTCATGTCCTCAGTGGCTATCAGTTCCTTCGATGTTTGCCTGATCAAACTTGGACACAACAACCTATTGAATGCCAACGTAAGAAAAAACTAGTTTTGCTCAGAAACAAAACAAGTCATGGAAAAATACACAAAATAGACTATAATACTGATTTTAACAAAAGAATCTGTACTGATATCTGAAAAGACAGCATTTTAATAAGGTGCTTAAAGCATTCACACTAGGCATAGCAAAAACCTACTGAGTCATTACATTGTGCTGCTGTGTGCTTTGTAAGAATATCGCAGTGTTAAATGTTTTAGAAAACACTCAGTTTTATGAGGTCTTTCACTCTTCTAGTTTTAAATATCTCAGAGAAGTACTCATCTCTTATATTTATAATAATAATCTTTAAGTTTGTCGATTAAGCTGAACAAAATGTTTTTGGAAGAATCTGACTACGATTTTTTACATTAAATTAATTATGTCTCTAGAATCACCTTTATGCTGCCTTGAAAATCCCCACAAGAAATGAATGCCTCAAACTACTTATACACAAGTCTGTTCAACAGCTATAGATGAGAAGTGGCCTGATCTTGCTAATAGCAAAGTTTCCAATAGCTTGTTAAAACTCAGTGTAATTTTATTGACTTACTATTCATTTTATTAAAAAAAATGTCTGATTATACTCCCAAGTTCTTTAACGCCATTGATTTTAACTGTTTTGTCAATAGCTTCATTTACAAAAGTAAGATTAAAATATTCTGTAAATACCATTCATATTTTAACGAACAATGACATTAAATTACTCTTAAATTACTCTAGCATGCATTAGTAATGGATTGTAGTTATGTAGTTATTGATCAAAAATTACTTTTATAAAAAACATTGACATGCATTGAAAATACCTAGGCTTAATTATGACAAATATTATTTTTGTATGTCAATCAAGTGTTTGGTGTTACTGTGTGTGCCTAATGGCTCTTCACCCGAAGCATTATGTCTTGCTATAAATATCCCTACACCATGAAAACAGCTAGAATTATATTCTTCTCTTTTTTAATATAGCCTCTTTATGCCTGAGGCCACCAACATCTGACAGTGTTGAAATTTCCCCATTCAAGCAACACTACAAAATTGGTGAAACCGTGAAGCTAAGCTGTCGAGCTGGGTTTGTAGTCACTGGTCAAACACAGTATACTTGTGAAGAAGACCTGTCCTGGTTTCCTTCTATTCTGAGGTCTATTACATGTGAAAAAGGTTAGTATCTCTGCAGGTGCATTACTATTCCTGTAGTCCTGGTATCGTCAGCATGGTTTTATTACAACTAGATAGAGCTAGAAAGTGGATTACTAGTTTTCAGATGCACAGAAACTATCATTAAATTATTAGAATAAAGTTCATTATCAGAATTTTTGAGTTCAACATACTGCACATTTTGATCATGAAATTGCAATAACTGTAATCTTGGGGTTGGAGAAAGCTGTATTAACAATGCTTTATGAAAATGTAGCAGGAGAATTCATTCTTTTGAAACTTCGTATGCAAGTTTTTCCAGTGATTCTTGCAAGGACCTACCCATATTTGTGGAAAGCCAGTCACTGCACCTGATAAAGAGAGAAATGCAGGGTAAACGGAAATAAATACAATTTAGCCCTGGCAGTAGAAGTCTAAGTAATTTCTGCTAATTTTGTTTCCAGTTACAAGAACTCTCACTCTTGTTTCAGATGAGCAAACTAAGATTAGAGGATTTTGCAATCCAGGACAAAAACAGGTTGGGTCTGAGTGTGTTTGTATGAATCCAGAAGAGGACTGTGGGTAAGTTAAAGTTCCATTTGAAAAAGAAAAGTCACAGTTTCCCCAGTGGCAGACAGAAAGTCCATTCTGAAGACAAAATAAAGTGTAACAAAAGACAGCAATCTGAGGATTCCTCAGGTCTCAAATTAACCTGTTAAGCCCCTGCATTCAAATTACAGCCCTCTTTATAGTCTATGAAATAAAATGAAAATTAACCATATGGCACACCATAGTCTCTCCTTCTAATCTTTTGCCACTGTCATCTGCTACTGGACATCCCAACTCTTCTTCCTTCCTTTTCCCTTCAACTTCTACACTTCCATAGTTATCACCTTATCCTAATGTGCCATACTACTTGTACTTGACATCCACTTTTTTTAGGTGAACATGGTGCAAAGCACACCATGTACTTCACTACTGAGAGCATAAGAAAATATGTAAGACTTGGACTTACTGTCTCTTAGCAAAACACGACCTGCACAGACCTTCGAGCCTTCAAGTGAATAAAGGATTATCCCAGAGAATTTTTAGTAAATGGCTGGCCAGGCTAGAGGTGTGGAGTAGGGCTGAAGATGAGAAAGATGAATATGGCTTGAGTATGAGCCAGGTCAACATAGGGTCACTGGAAGTGCCCTGTGCCTTGTGAAGATAACAGTGCCTCCTGTTTCCTTATCCAAGCACATCCTTGGCTTTGTATCTCATGGCTGGGACCAAAGCTTCCTCAGCTCAAGGCACTATGCTGTACCACTGCGTTCTCAAAGAACAGACGCTGCAATAGCTATGACAGCCTTAGGTCTTTAGACAGATATCTAGCCTGTCGTGGATTTGCTGTTTTTCATTTTATGTTATTGGACTTTTTAAAGTATGGACTTGCATCACAGTCTGTTAAAATAATTATTCTTTTTCCTTGGGGCAGCCACTACTCAGAAGACATCTGTGTGCTACATGCTCTTTCCGAACAGCATGTGACGAAGCCCAGCTGTCAGTTTTCAGCTGAAAAGTGCCTTGGAGAGCAGTCATTTCACTTCTTGCATGCTGGTCCTTGCCACAGTAGTTCCAACTTACACTGGGCTATTGAAAGGGCAAAGCTCTCTGCAAAAAGCTTGAAGAAAGTGCCCTGTGGCTATGACACCTGCTATGACTGGGAGGAATGTCCAGGTATGGCTTCTGAATTTATCCCTGTCCACAGACACTGAAATTAAAATGTGCTGGCTCCTTCATTGTGTAAGAATGGGATTTACAGGTATTGTGGTCCACTTCAGCAAGTTACAGCCAGAGCAATGTGGAAGCAGGGTCGGTGCTGCATCCCTGCTAACATGTGTTACACTCAGATATGTGTCTTCTCCCTTAGGCAAAAGTGGTATGGCCACTTCCCATTAGTAAGGGATGAAAGAAATGTGAAGATTAAGGGAACTGTTTGGGGAGAATTAATATTTGTATCAATAATTACAGAGATGCAGCCAGAAATGTTATCACCTATTCCCCGTAAGTCTACTGCAACCACCTGCTTGTACTTCAGGAGTAAATCTGGGACACACCTTCTATAGCATATAATTAAATTATGAAACTAATCATAAAACTACTTAGCAAGACAGGGGCCATCAGTCTTAATGGGATTTTAATGGTAAAATGTGCAAATACCTCAATGTGAAAGCTGTGTTTATTAAGAGTTTTAATGAACTAGCTAAGCTGTTTGGTGAAATCCCTAAGAGGATTATTTTATAAACACTGTTGTGCAACTTGGCTATTTACTTTGTAACTCTGTGATAACAGCAGTAGGATTTCCTGTAAATGTCTGAGGTGTTGGCTTGCTCCATGCACATCATACGCCTGGCAGGAGAAGGCTGAGTGGCAATCACACTCATTCCCCCGCTTGCTTCCAGAGACAAATATGATCCAATCCACTTCATCTGCTTGTGGGGAAAAAAAAAAAAAAAAAAAAAAAGGAAGACCAGTGTGAAGCAATCTTAAAACCTCTGCTTTGCAAGATGATTTATGCAGCACAGGATTGAAAGGATGTGGCTTAAAGCTACTGCACAAGGTATTGCTTCAAGTGGGGCTGAAGCCAGAATCAGGTGTGCTCTTCAGGGGGCACGGCAGGGTGGACTCCTCTGTAGGTGACTATAATTTCAAAAAACATTTAGCTTATTTATTCCAGAGCCCCTAAGAAGCCTAGTCCTGTTCCCACCATGAAACTGGATTAAGACTGGATTCAGTGCCATCATCTCAGTGTTTTTATCTCAGAGACCCACAGAGGAGCCCTGTTCAGTGAGCAAGAGTCCTGGGGAAAAAAAGACATTAAATTTTCATTGTGGTACTCAAGAGGTTTTAACTGGAAAAAATTCCTCACCAGCTCCTCAAAAATATTCTTGCCCATGAGTATGCAGTTAGGAAATGGAAGTTAATTAGTAGTTGTGTCCATGATTGTATCAACACAGAGGCAGAAGATACAGCAGTACCATGCAAAAGATGCTAAACTGAGTAAAATGCACGTTTTTCATTTGTTTTAAGAGAGGGGAGGCAGGAATTTAGTTTCCTGCCCAGGGAATTTCTGGGAAAGAATATAAAGAGTCAGAATCTGATTAGATCAGAAATAGGTAATGAAATAACCGGCAGGACTGAGTTTTACCACAGGCCAGCAGCAGGTAGTTTAGCATTCATAAAGGGAGCTCTAATGAAATAGGAGCTGGCACAATACGGACCTTAAGACTCCATTTCACAGCACCATTGTGTGCAAAGATAATTGGGAACAGAAAGTCAACTTAATATATTTTTGTTTAGAATAAAGGTCAAGGTAAACTAGTGGATAAAAATAGTTAGATACTTCATTTCTACTGCTGTAGTCATTGCTGCAAAAACTGGTACTTAAAGCTCCTATTGTCTCTGCTTCCCAATGTCCTGCTACCTAGTGCATACACTAAGCTTTCTGACTAAGGTATCATGAACCTGCAATCGCGTTTCTCCTTGTTGGCTTTTGAAAGGTTGTCAAACTATAAAATGATAAAATGTTTTTAGTCATAAAATTTGCAGCTAAAACTCCTACACATTCATTGCCAGAATCACAGATGCAGTGCTCCTGCCTAATGCCTTACCAGTGCCCCAGAGAAGAGAGCCAGCTTCACTGCATCCGAATGGAGTCAACAGGGAGAAGGAAGACAGTCAGTCACTGTGTGCTGGCAGCCATGAAGTGTGCTGGCATCAGACTGGAGGTGCTGGAGGAGGGGAGCTGCCTGGGGTAAATCAGTGGCTCTCCCAGTGGCCACCACTGTCATCCCACCACAATGGGGTAAACCACTATAGGGAAAACTCAACTGGTTATAAAAGGACAAATGAACTCAAGAAGGATGCAATAATAATAATTTTAAAAATGAGCTAATTTAGTGGAAGAAGAGTGGCAGTGGGACTTTTATTTCAGTTTGAAAATGACTTGAATGTAGGGTATAAGAACTGCTATTGTTGTCAATATTTCTGCGTGGACAGAGGGAGGGAAGGGAGAAAATAGGAAAAGAGAAAGGAGAGCTTTGCCTCTGGTCTCTCTGGTGTTGGACAACACTCTTCCTTTCCTCAGCCATTTGTTTCTCTGTCCCTTCTCTGGCAACTGCTCTGCATCCTGGTTGTCTTACTGGCTGAGAGCCCACTGGGCATTTCAACATAGAATCATAGAATTAATCATAGAAAGGCTTGGTTTGGAAGGGACCTTTAAGATCATCTAGTTCCGATCCCCTGCTATAGGCAGGGACACCTCCCTCTAGACCAATTTGCTCACAGTTCCATCCAGTCTTGAATGCTTCTGGGAAGGGGGCACCCACAACCTCACTGTTCCAATGCCTCACCATCATCATAGTAAAGAATAACTTCCTTATATCTGGTCTAAATCTACTCTCTTCCAGTTCAAAACCATTTCCCCTAATTCTGTTGCTATCTGCCCTTATAAAATGTCCTTCCCCAGCTTTCCTGTAGGCCCCCTTCTGGTACTGGAAGGCCGCTATGAGGTCTCCTTGGAGCCTTCACATCTCCAGGCTGAAGAGCCCCAACTCTCCCTGCCTGTCCTCGTAGAGGGGCTGCTCTTAGCCCTCCTCTGGACCTGCTCCAACAGCTCCATGTCCTTCTCACACTGAGGGGGATATCTTTTCATATTTCTTCTGACACATAACAGAGTTACAAAGGAGTTCACTCCTACAGGCACTCACTATGCAAATTCAGGGAGCAATACAAAATACTGAAAACCACAAATATATAGTGATTCAGTGAAGCTTTCAAAACCATGAGTTTTTTTAATCAGTGTAACTGAAGGGAGGAAGAGTCTGCTTTCTGGTTTTGTTTGTTGGCTTCGATCCTCAGGCTGAGGATTTTACAAGCCGGAGGATTAGAAACTTGCCTTCCAAGCAGGGGAAAGTTGACAGTTCCTTTCCTCCTCTAGCACTGAGATGAACAATGAAAATCAGGGAGCAGCAGGGGAGAGGCATCCAAAAAAGTGTCCATCTGTGAATGACGTGTCCAATATATAACCGTCACAACTGGCCAGGGGATGGGTAAAGTCATGTAGGAGCAGGGCAAGGGCTGTACATGAAATGACTATTTCCCCTCCAAGAGGTCTCACACTCATACATTTGGGATGCTGCCAGTTTCCATAAATCAACAGCAGTTACTATCAACTGGATGGAGCTCAAGGAAAAGAAACAATGATCTGTTCAGCTAAATACAATAAAGCATTACATTTTCTTGATTAAAATGTAGTCAAAATGATTTTAATAAAAAAATAGTTTTGCCCTTGTACTTCTATTTTTCTTTTGTCCAACTGAAGGTTTATACTGACATCCTGGCAATGGTGTGGAGGAGTGTTGCAAATTTCATTCTCCCTGGCTTCTGTTTTTCACCCTTCTTTCTTACTGCTGTTCACATTTTGTATGGGAGTAATCACTCAGAATGTTGTGTGTGCCTTCCTCACCCTCAACAAGCACTGAAGATTTCTCGCTTCTGGCTCTCTCACCTCAATACTGGCTTTTCATTTTCAGATTCTGATTCCAGCATGACTGGCAGTGTTTGTTGTGATGGGAGGAATTTTTTTTTTTTTTTCCCCTTAATGCTTTTCAACATAACAAATTGCAAGATTAAGTTATTTTCTGATAAATAGAAGGAAACCATAGCTACCTGACTGCCCCCATTTCTCTGACACCTGTAATCTGAGTGGTAGCAAGCATTCGCATTGAGACTTGTATTGTTCTCTCTTGCTGGTGGGGACAACACCCATAGTTTCAGTTTTACAGTTTAGCATTACGACACAGAATGGAGACAACACGTGCTACTCACTAGTAGGGTGGTGATTTAGCCATAAGCTGAATCCAGAGGAAATTTTCAGCTGAAATTACTGGCCGTTCTGCTGTTGGTTTCATTAGGATGCAGATGGCACTTGCAATGACTTAAAACTCATTGCTACACTTTGCTATAAGATCTGTAATCTTCACATCAAAGACTGCAGCTTTTGGATGTTTCCTGTAACATTCACATTTTTCTTAGAGTAAGTTCTCTTCTACTGTGATAACATATATTAGATAATGATAGAGATTGCCTGTTCACTGGTGGCAGGAAATGTCTGCACTTCTTTGCCACTGTAAGCTCTAAGTAACATTATCTAGTTTGATGGATCACTGCCTTGGGTCATAAATTATAATTGGGAAAAATGAAGCAACACCTGAACTGAATCTGTCAGGGTAACTAGAGTCACAAGGAGCTTACCAGTTCTCAAAGGACAGCTGCCTCAGTAATGCTGCTTCCCCACTGCACAGAAAAAAATATCATGTGTTCATTCTTAACGTCAGAGCAGAGGCATTACTCAAAATGAATATAATGAGCATTTCCACCAACGCAAGAACTTCCACACAACATTCCATATTTCATTTTTCTCTACCACAACTGTACGTTGAGTGTATGTAGAATACACTTAATACAGCTCAGCAGCTGAGGTTTGATTTGATGGCTGGACAATTAGAAGCTGCTGTTCTGGGCTTTTGTATGAAGCCATTGCAATTGTAATGTAGAATGCAAAATTTGACTAAATATAGAAAAGAACTGTATATATATATTCAAGGTTTGTCCTTATGTATCTTCAGAAAGGGACAATTCAGAGTTTGCTTCAATGGAGTTAAAAATTGGGTGGGTACTGGCTTCGGTAGTAACTGGCAAACTTTTCACAGTGGGCCATTACGTAATTATTTCAGTTACTATTTCTCCTTCAGTGAGCGAAAACATCTCATAATAAATATGCTGTCTTTACTTCAACTGTTATGTAGAGTTAAGTACCTCTTAAGAGTTGGTGCAAAGTAAGACAGTCATTACTAACACATACGCAAAATATACGTGTATATAAAGTTAAGTGTTTGCAGAGAATGATAAAGAGGTGACATCGAGCAGTCATTCCCTCTGGGTTCCTGCAGAGTTCACTGTTATCCCCTGTGCTTCTCCTGGCTGGCATTGAGTGATGAATCTCCAACAGTGGCATAACTTGTAGTATTCACGGTAGGTCCAGTTCAACATGCAATTTGAGGAGGCGTTACATTTTCTGCTCAGAGAGCCCTGAGCATTATGCTTTAGATAGTTATTGCCAGATAAGAGAGCTTTCAAGTGCAGCTATGACAGAACTGACTCAGCTCTGATGGTGGGGTCATATGGGACAAAATGCTACAAATAACACTGTCCCTTAAAACTTAACTGTTAATTTAACAACAAGCTCTAGGGGTATATCTGAACTGATGTTGACAGGTTTGAGTAAGCTGATCTTCCTTCCTTGGATTATGAGAATGAGATACCCCTAAAGGTATATTTATGTATCCAAGCTAATCATCATTTCCTCGAGTACTGTGTCCAGTTTTGGGCCCCTCACTGCAAGACACTGAGGCCCTGGAGCGGGTCCAAAGAAGGGCAACAAAGCTGGTGAGGGGTCTGCAGCACAGGCCTTATGAGGAGCAACTGAAGGAGCTGGGATTGTTCAGCCTGGAGAAGAGGAGGCTCAGGGGAGACCTTACTGCTCTCTATAACTACCTGCAGGGAGGTTGTAGTGAGCTGGGGGTCGGCCTCTTCTCTCGTGTAACTGGTGATAGGACTAGAGGGAATGGCTTCAAGCTGCGCCAGGGGAGATTCAGGCTGGACGTTAGGAAATACTGTATTGCTTGTCTGAAAGAGTGGTCAGGCACTGGAATGGGCTGCCCAGGGAGGTGGAGTCACCGACCCTGGAGGTGTTCAAGGAACATTTGGATGTTGTGTTGAGGGATATGGTTTAGTGAGAACCATTGGTGATGGGTGAATAGTTGGACTGTATGATCCTGTGGGTCTTTTCCAAGCTTACAACCTTAGTGATTCTATGATGAAGAAGGAAGGAGAGGAGAGGAGAGGAGAGGAGAGGAGAGGAGAGGAGAGGAGAGGAGAGAAAACAGTTTCCCATGGATGAAATACCATACAGAGAAAAAATACCAACTAGCTCAAACAGTATGAATACATCCTACAGACACAGCAACCTTGCTGTGTGTCTTTCAACTGGTGCCTCCTTTCCTCTTTTCTCTTAATCTCAGAAAATGAGGATGCTGAGAAGAGGCTGGATAGATGCCATGACAACAGCCTCCCAGAGAAATGTGCTGGTTTGGTGGCCTGCAAGGGTATGCTACCAAATAATTATTCTCATCCACTGTAGGATAAAAATAATCAAGTTCATTTAAATGTTTTCAAACCTGCTAGGAGAGAAGGACTTCTGCTATCACCATGCAGTCAGTGTTCAGGAGCAATGGAAACGTACATGGTGGGGAGTGAACAAGTCTGTGGCTAACCCAACACCACCCAGCAGCTCTCAAGCTCCACCTGAGTTGCAGTTGAGGATTGTGTATACTGCGGCTAGTGAGCTGAGGCCTGCTTAAACCCATGGGCTCATGTAATAATAGCTGCCAAGTGGTACCAGCCTAAATTTAGCACTGGCCAATTCACTCTTATCCAGCGGGACAGCAAGTGTTTCAAGAGACACAGAAGATCTGGATTTCAGAGCTGTCTTTTTGATGCAGGAAATGGCAGTCTGTCATTGCAGCACGTGTCCCAGTGCTGGTTCGACGGATAAGGAATTTGTTGGAATGTCACAGCCAGAGGGTTGTGGTCAGCAGCTCTTTGTCCAGGTGCATGTGATGACAAGTGGTGTCCCCCAGGGGCCTGGTACTCTTAAACACTTTTATCAGTGATATAGGTGATGGGTTTGAGTACTCAGCAAATTTTGCAGATGGCACCAGTCTGTATAGTGCAGTTGATACAAGAGAAGGAAGGGATGCCACCTAAAAGGAGTGACAAACTTGAAAGGTTGGCCCATATGAGCCTAATGTGGTTCAACAAGTCCAAGTGCAAAGTGTTGCACTTGGGTTGGGTCAATCCCAGATAAGTGTACAGACTGGGAGAAGAACTCCTTGAGAGCAGCACTGCAAAGACTTTAGGATCCAGTTATTTGGAAAAATTAACATAAGTCAGCAGTGTGTGCTTGTGGCCCAGAAGGCCAACAGTACGCTGGGCTGCATTGAAAGAGGGGTGGCCAGCAGGGAGAGGAAGGTGATCAGCCCCCCTACTCAGCTGTCATGAGGCCCCATCTGGATTATTGTGTCCAGGTCTGGGGTGCCCAGCACAAGA